CAAATTGTGAAAGGAAACCAGAACTTAAAGGACAACCAAATGAGTGGTACATTTCCTTTGTTTTTTATGTTCCCAAACTCCCAGCCTGAACTCAAAGGAAATTCAAATCATGGAACTGCACACCAGGGACAAACAGGAAGACATACCCACAAGACAATCTTTTCTTTTTGGTTAGAGTATGAATGGGATGGGGGAGGAGGGTTCCATATGGGATTGAGAGAGTAGGAGAAATCTCCTGGCTCTTTTCTCTTTTTACCTTTCGCTTCCAGCTCTTCCTCCAGGTAAGCCTATTTCACTATTTGCAGCTACAGCTGAAGGGATACTTAGTAAATTTCTGAGGAAGGGGAATCCTTTCTGACTAGAGGACCGGTGGTATGAGGAATGTGACAGAACTAAAAGGAAAAATAGATAAATCCACACTTATAATCTGAGATTTCAACATTCCTCTCCTAGTAATTCACAGAACGAGCAGACAGAAAACCAGCAAAGATACAGAAGACTTCAACACTATCAATGAATTGACCAGTTTGACATTTATAGAATCTTCCGCCCCCAAAGAGCATAACATACATGCTTTTAAAGTGCACACAAAACATTAAAGATAGATCGCTTGGTGGGCCTTAAAACAGGTATCAATGAGAAGTGATTCAACTCGGGCCGGCCGAGTGGCGCGGTGGTTAAGAGCTGGCTTGGGACGCCAGAGGGCCCCAGTTCGGATTCCACATATGAGGGCCAGTGACACTGCCCTCCACAGCTAAGATGCTGAACAACAGCTCAACCTGGAGCTGGGCTGCCATGAGTCACCGGCGACAGTGTAGGCTGCAGCCCCTGCTGCAGTGGGCTGCCATGTGCTACCGTGTGTAGCCAGCAGCCAGCGTGAGCGGCCAGCAGCCGCAGTGAGCGGCCGTCCAGAAGCCGGCGACTGATCTGCCTCACCCGGGAAGAGCGCAATGATGGTGCCAACTTGGGCCAGTGAAGCAACGTCCTCCACAACTAGACTGAAGAACAAAAACGACAGCAACTTGTCTGTTCCCCTTCCCCCAATTCCCCAGCACTGTTCCCATCCCCCAATTCCCCAATAAAAATCTTTTAAAAAAAAAAGAAGTGATTCAACTCATAGAAATGGTGTTCTTTGACCACAATAAAATTAAATTAAAAATCAATTTGACAAAGGTATTTGTTAAATTCTCAAACGCTTGGAAACTACATCAACATACTTCTGAATAACACATTGGTTAAAAAAGAAGTCAAAAGGGAAATCAGACAGTATTTTTTTTTTTCAGCTGAGTCATCCTGTCATCTGTTGGCAGCTCAGCGGCTGCTCAGCTCAGGCCGAGACTTGAACCGCTGTTGCTCAGAGCTCAAACTCTTGAGCGAGCTCTTAACCAACTGAGCCACTCGGCTGGCCCTAGACAGATTTTGAACTAAATGAAAACACTACTCATGAAAGTATGTAAAATACAGCTAAAGCAGTACACAGAGGGGTATAGCACTAAAATTCCTATATTAGAAAAGAAAGTCCCAGTGTCAATGACCTCAGCTTCTACATCAAGAAACCAGAAAACGATCAAATTAGACTCAAAGCAGACAGAAGAGAGGAAATAATAAAAGATAAAGCAGAAATCAATGAAGTAGCAAATAGGAAAGCAATACAGAAAATGAATGAATACTGAAACTGATTCTTTGAGATAAATAAAATTGATATAGCTCTATATAGAATGATCAAGACTAGAAAGAATACCCACATTAAAAATATCAATAATGAGATTACTCCACTACAGATTCTACAGATTTATAAAGGTCACCCAAGAGGAAATAGATAATTCAAATAGTATTATATTGGGTTGTTGGAAAAGTCATGATGCATTTTTGCAACAAAAAACATAGAAAAAAATACATCATGACTTTTCCGACAACCCAATATTTATTAAAGAAATTTAATCTGTATTTTAAAACTTTCCCACCAAGAAAATTCCAGGCCCATATGGCTTCCTTGAGAAATTCTATCAAACATTTAAGGATGAAATAATAGCAATTCTACACAAAATATTCCAGGAAATTGAAGAGGAGGAAATACTTCTGAACATTCAACTAATTCATGAGGCCAGCATTACCCTGATACCAAAATCAGACAGAGACATTGCAGGACAAGAAAACTAAAAGTCAATATCCCACATTAACAGATTCAAAAATAATTGTCTTAGGAAATGAAATCTATCAACTGTACAAAAACAGGCCACAAGGGCCAGATTTGTTCATTCTGCTTTAGAGGACTGCTTCCCAACCATAATAGTCCAAATCAAATAATGAAAATATTTCACCAAACTGGTGAAAGGTTTCTATTAGAGGTGACTGCCATGGACATCAGCTACCCACCCCACTACTCTAACCCCAAGGACTGAGGACTTACCCTAACATCTCCTTTCCTACACACTGTTTTCCCTTGAATTTAGACTTTTTTCCACTTATTTTATGTATTTATCATCAATTCAAACCTGAGCCTTTCGTCTAAAACTTTTCTAAAGATAATTAAATGCACTGGATTTCTATCAATGTCATTTCCTGAGGCTTCTAACCTACTCCAGTTTGGTCTGGTTGCCCTCTGTCCCTGTGTTTTCATTGTCATCCTGAAGATTTCTTCACCTTTCTCCTTTGTTAAATTTCCTATTTCCTGTAACCAATTTCTTCCTTTGAATTTGGTTGACTTTCTTATTTTGATGGATCACATCCTCCAACAGATTTCTTAGGAAAAGAGTACAAGGCAGGCTAAAAAACCTTATATGTCTTAAAACATCTCAATTTTATATCTGATTAATAGTTTCAATGCATAAGAAATACTACGGTCAAAATTATTTTCCTTTAGAATTTTGAAAGTGATGCTCCATTTTTCATTCAGTTTCTAATGTTACCATTGAGAAGTCCAAAGTCAACTGATTCCTGTTACTTTTGTATATGACACGTTTTTTCCTCTCTGGAAGCATGAAAGGTCTTCTGTTTGGCCCAGTGATTTGAAATTTCACCACAATGTGTCTTAGTTTGTATTTATATCTGTCCACTGTGCAGAGCACTCAGCAAGCCATTCAACCAGGAGCCTCACATTCTTTAGTTCAAGAAAACTCTCAACTCTCTCTCTCTCTCTCTCATCTATCTAATTCTCTAAATTAAAACTAATTTTAATTTTCAATTACAGTTGACATTCAATATTATTTTATAATAATTTCAGATTTACAAAGTAGTAGATATTTATATAATTTAGGAAGTGATCCCCCCAATTAGTCTGGTACCCACCTGGCACTATACATAGTTGTTACAATATTATTGACAATATTCCCTATGCTGTACTTCACATCCCATGACTATAAGAATATTCTCGTGAGCCATTTAGTTGATTATTTCTTTCCCATTTTATCTGTTCTTTCTTTTGGGAACAACTATTATTTGAATATTGAAATTCCTGGACGGATCCGTAAGCTTCTTAACACTCCTCACTTCTTTTCTATAATCTTTGTCTTTCTGCTCAACTTTTTCAGAGATTTCTTCAATATTAATTTTCTAATACTTCCACATAGCTTTTTATCTCTGCTATCAGAATGTTAATGTCTAAAACCTCTTTTAAAATCACAATATCATTATTTTACAGTATCTCTTTGTTTCATGACTGTATTATTTTCTCTTATTTCTCTTAGGATATTAATAATGGTTCTATTGTTTTCCTCTACGAAATTTCTGCTCTCTCCAAGTTGCTTTATTCTGTTTAATTTAATGTCTATCATGCATTACATTAGAGGGTGTCTTTAAATATCTAGTAATCTTTGATTAGCTGCTCATATTTAATAGGACTAAAGACCTGATTGGGAGCTTTGATATGTGGAATGATTTAGCTGGGCTATTTATTTAAGGAATCTCTGATGACTACATTTGTGTGTGTTTCTTTTCAGTCAGATTCCTCAGAATGATTAAGTACAAGTATAAGCTAAAATTTCCAAATCAACTTGCATAAATTATTCCTCTTTTTATTCTGCAACAAACAATTTTATAAAAATAATACAACTCTAAAAATTGGGAAGAACAAAGTTGGAGAAAAAAGAGAACAAGTTTATGGAATAAATGAACCAGGAGCTTTTACAGGATTAAAACACTGCATATTTGTAAATCTAAGATATGTTTAGTTGTAAATGAAGACCCTAAAAATGTAACTCAGTAATGACTGCCTGAAATGTTGTAATATATTCATTAGCTTCGGTTCTCAATTCTCATTCTCTTATATTTTTTCCAACAATATTTTTTTTCTGTAACTGCTATATATTAGGTATTTACTCTTGGCACTAAAAATACAGCAATGAACAAATCAGACAAAAATGTCTGTAATCATGGAACATTAATGCTAGTTTTGGACAGAGAAAATAAAATACAAAGGTGATAAGTACTATGAATAAAAAGAAAAGTGGAGGTGCTAGTCGAGCAATTTTAAATAAGTTAGTTAGGGAAGGCTTTATCTGAAGATTTCGCTGATACAGAATATTTTTGCCTAGTTTGGAAGTTGTCACTTCAAATCAGTTAACAACCAATGATAATAAATTTTAAACAGAAAAGAAAAATAAGAAGATCCTAATTTAAGACAGAAATTATAAACAAAAACCATTTCTTCTGAGAGCTAAAACAACAAATGTTGTCTCGACAAAATTTTTAAAAGTCAGTGTGATGATACTCCAAGAAATGTTACTGTTAAAAATTTACTTTTGGTTATACTCCAAAAGTGCTATCCAGATATATGCCTCAATATGCTCCAAAATTACTTAAAACCTTAATATCATTTAAACAATGACATGAGGCTATTTTTCATTTTCTTTTATCATATAGCACTTTTAGACTGTAACATTTAAAACCCTGAAGTATCTAAACTAAACCCAGCAAAAACCCCAGTCCTCAGATTAAGTACTAGGAAGGAATAGCTAGTGTCTTTTCTTTTTAATTTAGTAGTAGATTCAATGAAAATTTACCTTGCCCAGAGCGGCTTTGGCGAGAGTCTACACTTGACTGTCTTCGATCTGGTGGTTCCTCGCTCCCTCCATCTGCATAAAATTAGAAACAGCATAAGCAAAAAGATCATGAAATTAATGTAATTAATGCAATATCTTCACTGCTTCCATCTATATCTTAAAACTACTATATCTTTTGTTTTAACTTCTTATAATTTCAATCATTAAAATATATGAGGACATTTCCTACATAAACCAAAGGTTCTTACCCTTACTTTTGTGGGGATGATTTACTGTCCCCTCTTAAAGTCTGGAGAAAGTAAAGGTGTTCTTTCCGTGCCCCCACACGTATACAGTCTACTTTGCATATAATGAAGCAATGTATCACCTCTGAAGTTCATTCACACAATTCGATGTTAAAACCCTTGATTTAAAGCAGTGTCTAAATTAATTATAGTTGCTTATTTGTCTAAAATGCATCAAATAATCCCTAGGGTTATACGTTTTACTATAATAAAAATGACATTTACATGTTTTATGGGCAATAAGAAAATTATATAATATGTGAAAGAGTAATATAAATCAGAATCAGAAAAACTCAGAAATGAGGAGTCAGAAACCAAGAAAGAATAATGAAACAAAAATCATTTCAGTAATAAAGACTAAACTACAAGAAACATAAGAGCAAATAAACATACCAAAAGATCTTAAAAGAAATAGAAGCCAAAAGGATAAAAGTCTTTAAGAAATTTTTAAAAAAGAAGATTAAAAGGGATTTGCAAGAAGGTGACACTTATCAAAGACGGGCATAAGGATAAAAATAGAAGTCCCTAAAGAAGAAAACCAAAACGAGAGAACAAAACAAATACTAAAAACTATAATTTAAAAAAGTGTGTATGTATGTGTAATATGTATAGTTATATGTCTATGTATATACTCACCCACATATACATACATACATGCGCATATATATAATATACATATATATATATATATGTATTTGAAACTACGTATTAGAAGAGCATCATGTGTACTTGAGATAATCAACTTAGAACAATGTACCAAGGCATTTTCTACTAAAATTACTGTACTTAAAGAAAGAGGGGGAAAAAAACCCTTCCTAGCTCTAATAAAAAAATTTAGGCAACCAAAGTGACTAGAGAGAGACATCAAAGTAAGGACTACTGATGAGCATTAAATATACAACTGACTGTAGAATTAAGACTCCAAATGGTTTTTTTTAATGGAGAGATTATAATATGCAATGGCTATAAGATCTGACAATGTAGATACAGTACAACCATAAACAAATGAGGGAAGAAATGGAGAAAGCATAAATGAAAGAAAAAAATTTAACTGATTTCAGTAATCAAAATTGGTGGAGGTAATGTTTATAAACAGAGAAAAAGCAAATGAATAATGATATACTCCAATTCTATCATCTCCTTGAGAACCAGAATTCTCAGTGTAGGAAGACAGGAACTACAGAAATAATAACAGAAGCTAAGTAAAAACTCTGTAGCATTGGCTCTATATTGAAAACATCAGTAGAATCATGTAAGTACAGGTGTATTTTAGCTCTGTCTACTGAAAATGCCCAGACACAGTGCCTGAACAAGTAGCAATAAGCCTCTCTAGAGCCCAGACTGTGATCTTGAAATGCGATTCCCCATTAAAATAAACCAAGATTTCTTAAAGAACTAGCTGGTTTAGCAAAGGAAATGTACTAGATAAACCTTGAACGTACTGACATATTCAATAGCGAGAAAGCTATCAAAGACAATGTACAACTAGGGTCATATCAAAAAGACTCAGCGAAGAAGTTTTCACTGCCATGTGATCATAACACCATCTTCTGAGGTTAACAGGGACCCATGTCATTATCTTGAAAACTGGAGAAATAAAAGAATTAAGCAATTCATCCTACATTTCCTATATAAACTGTACTAATAGGCAAAGAGTACATAAAAGAGATCTTATAAAAATTATTTCAGATAATAAATGAGAAACAAGATAGAATTAGAATAGCACTATTTCACAACTTGCAATGAACTAAAAGCTCTACAGGCCCCAAGCATTAAAGGCCAATACCATCAAACAAGAGTAAAAAGCACACATGATATGCCTCCTGATGATAGGACCACAACAACTACAGTTTTGCCCAAGCAATCAAACTTTAGTCTAGTCAAATCTCTGAATCTAGCTGTCAGTTTTCAGGAAAAACAAATGGCAGAAAAAAAACGTTAAATTGTTCCTGAGTGCACAATCAACAAAATTCAAACTGGAAAATTCTGCAGGTCAAACAACACAGGTCTTTCAACAGATAAAGAAAAAAGGAAAAAGTATTATAAAGTTTGAAATTATGATGGAATAAA